CGACAGACCCAGGGGACTCAGTTTGAGTCCGGTCTGTTTCGACGACTGAGCGAGATAACGGGAGCAGAAAAATTGAGGACGACGGCATATCACCCGCAGGCGAAGGGATGTCGAGCGGTTTCATCGCCAGCTCAAGGCGGCGATCAGGTGCCAGCAAAACGACCGCTGGACGGAGTCATTGCCGACCGTCCTGCTGGGGATCAGAGCAGCGTGGAAGGACGACCTGAAGGCGACCACAGCCGAACTGGTGTACGGTCAGGCGCTGAGGATCCCGGGGCAGTTCCTAAGTCGGCTGCCGACGGACAACGAGGACAGTGCCGTCGACTTCGTCAGGACGCTGCGTGAGCGATTCGAGAGGCTGCGACCGGTGGACGGGACCCGGCATGGAGAGCGACGACCGTTCGTCTTCAAGGACCTAGCGACGGCCGGGCGGGTGTTTTGTGCGGCGCGACGGACCAAAAGGATGCAGCAGGAGCCATACGAGGGACCGTACGAGGTCATCAGTCGCAGCGAGAAAGTCTTTGTCGTGCGCATGCACGGCAAAGAGAGAACGGTCACGATAGACCGACTAAAGCCCGCGTATATTTTTTCAGAAAGCGATACAGGAGGCGACGGGCCGGCGGGATCGACGGCGCGGGACCGAGGCAGTGAGGTCAATCGACGAGAGGAGCGCGAGGACGCGGGACCGCCGCTCCGACGAGGCGAGACGACGACGAGAGCAGGGAGAAGAGTCCGGTTCCCGGACCGTTTCCAGGCGGGCCTGTGACGTAGGATAGGAAATAATTATTTCGGGTCGCGAGGTTCTGGGAGAATTCACACGTTAAGCAAGTTATTTCATTTATTGTATTCTATTTCTATTGGTTCGCGGTTTATAGCGCTATTTCTCTATCTTATATTTTTTGTTTTTTTTTTGGTTCTCAAGTAATTGACACGCGTACGCATATGCGAGCACGAACGACACGATTATATTATATTAGCGTTCTCTTATTGTTTTTTGTTTTGATTTTATGTGTGTAATTTTGCGTCGCGCTTACGTATAAAGGAAAATGTAATTCGTAGCGTCCGAACATCGAAATATCGTGCTATCGGTATAGCACTGGCGGGGGGTACTGTGGCGATTATATCGTCACATATTCCCCAGTTTACATATATGCGAAACTTACGCGGGACGAAAGGAAAAGCGAGACGCGAGACAAAATAAACAAGTGAAAAGACACAACGGACAAGACGGGGAGACAAAGACGATAATCGAGACTCGAAAACAATAACACACAAGCGAAATTAAAAAGGATGAGTCGAGAAATTCTCGAAGGTCGTAGGAACGGGCAGGAAGAGAATAGATAGCGCGGGTTCGAGAGATTCGGCCCCCGTCAGTTATCGCGTGCGGACGTGCGACCGAAGGAAAAGTCTGTACCGATTGAAAGTCGTAAAATTAAATGGATACGAACATAAAAGGCCTCGATTCTTTTCACACACACACTCTCTTTCTTATATATGTGCATATTACATCCTGCACTGATCAATTGGCACGTCAGGTAGTTAAAACTTTGTAGTAAAATTCTACATGGGTTTACAATGGATAATTTTTCGTAAAATTCTCTACATAAGTTTACAATGGTTTATTTTGCATAGAATTCTACATGGGTTTGCAATAATTAATTTTTCATAGGATTCTACATGAATTTGAAATGGGTAATTTTTTGTTACTGCCGCCGTTAACTGGACGCCGTTAACTGAGCGCCGTTAACTGGGCGCCTTTTTTTTATCTTTTTTTTAAAGATAAGTTTTTAGAGATTATATCATCCATTATATATGATAAACATCTAAATAATGAGCAAAGAACCCGTCACCACCTCTGTCATATTTCAAATTAAAATACGACGGTCCTCTTGCTTACTATAGATAAAATAACTATCTTGTACAACCATTTTTATTAAAAATATTTTTAAAAGTCTTAGGATTTTACAATTAGTCTTAGGGTTTGCAATGGGTAATTTTTGTTACTGGCATGCCGTTAACTGGGCGCCTCTTTTACTTTTTTTAAAGGATTACAGAATGTAAATATGAATATGTATTTATATTTGTATTTATACACTTATATACGATTTTACGACATTATTATGTATTAGGAGACGCGGTAGTGTCTCCGGCCATGTTCAACCCTAAAAGACCTTAAAAAGAACTACAAGTCTCCTTATCCTGCACGAAAGTCCATTTTTTGGGGGTGTCGCACCTTTGTCGCACACGATAATTTCGACACACCGTATCGGTGTGTGACCTTGATGGTCGACGGAGGAGTTATCGCTTCTCAGCGACAAGGAAAGGCGTTGATAACTCGAAGGACCAAGAATAGAAAAAGGAGAGCGTAGGTCGAATGGTACTCGACGCTTTCGCGCCGATAAGGAGGATCGTCGAATGTCGATGGTTTGCTCGTGCGAAATGGGGTGTAGAACTACTAAAATATAAAAAATTTTGAATTGCACGTAATCTAACCTGAAAGGCGGCACCGCCACGAGTAATTTGAGCAAAAGGATAAAATCGTCAAGCCGTTCTGGAGCAAGGTCAAAAAGTGACGTTTTCATGATTAATGAAGTCGAACGTCTCGCCTTCGACCTTACTGTCCGCGCTCCGCTGACGTCTCAGGAAAATATTGAGAATCTTTCTCACCTTTCACTCACACCCCCTCAACTCCGACATGCCTGTTTCCCTCCCACATCAGGTGACCCGCTACCCCACCCCCATCCCACCGTTTTCGCTAACTCACCCTCTTTGTCCTATTTTTTCAGTTTTTTCGTTCTTACCTCGCCTCTTCACCCTTTTTCACACCTTTTTTTTTCGTCCTCTTTCACCCCCGTCCAGGTCCATTCGTATCTTTCGACTCTTCACCCTCTTTCGTCCTACTTTAAAATTCGCTCTTTAATTTACCTCTGAGGCCCTCACCCTTTCATTCTCTCTCACCCTCTTTCATTCTCCACCCCCCGTTCTTTCACTCTCTTTCGTCTTTTCAACACTCTTTCGCCCATTTCACCCTCTTTCGTAGTCCGCACTCTCGTCCTCTTTCACCTCCTTTTCGTCCGCTCACCCTCATCAGGATTATCACCCTATTTATCCTCTATCGCTCTTCCCCCTTCGTCACTCACATCACCCTCAATTCCCTCACCCTCTTTCATTCTTTCTCAACCTCCCGTCTTCTTCACCCTTATTCCCTCTCACCTCTTCGTCCTCTTTCACTCTCTTTCGTCCTCTCTAACCCTCTTCATTCTTTCTCACCCTCTTTCACTCTCTTCGTCCTCTTTCACCCTCTTTGGTCCTCTTTCACCTCTTTCACTCTCTTTGTCCTTTCTCACTCTCTTTCATTCTTCTCACCCTCTTTCGCCCTCTTTCACCTTCTTTCACCCTCTTTCGTCCTCTTTCACCTTCTTTCACTCTCTTTTGTCCTCTCTTACCCTCTTTCATTTTTCTCACCCTCTTTCGCCCTCTATCATCCTCTTTCACCCTCGTACGTCCTTTCTCACCCTTTTTCGTTCTCTTTCACCCTCTTTCGCCTATCTCGTCTTCTCTTACTCTCATTCGTCCTTTCTTACCCTATCTCCAAAAAATCATAAAAATGAAAAGGTCAAGCCATGTTCAAAAAAAGGTCCTCAAAAATTTAAACCTAGTCTGTACAATGAAAAACTGCACTCAAAAAACTATGATGTTTCTCAATGTCTATTTAGAAATAATGTCAAAACTCTTACAGAATAATTACTACAACATTTGAAGTACGAAAAGTATTACATTAGAAGAAGATTAGATTAGAATAAGGATTCAACGTATTTTAAAAGCTCTACACACAACGAAGTGAATATACAAAACTATATACAAATACCTTTGTCTTCTGTGTTTCCGAAGAAAATTGTAAGTTGTAAATTGTAAATTGTAAACCTTGCTATTCAAAACCTATTCTTCATGATCGCAAGACACTATTTTCTATTTAAAAGACGTCTGCTAAAATTTTAATAAATAGATATTATTTATGATAGAAATGAAGAATTTGTGCTTTAGAGTATATGAATAGTACATGGTTATTTTAAACACTGAACCGATGCATACAACAAAACTTTTCTCTGTCTGTTCAATAAATTACTGATAATGTTAAATCCCAATCACATATGCCACCCTGCCTAGGTTAATGGGAATATTTAAATCAATCATTATCAAAACACTAATACATTTTGTACTTGCACTTTTGAGAACCATTTCACTTACTTTTCAGAGTCAAATTGATAAATTTTTTTTGTATATTTTAATGATATTTATTTCTTACTTGTATCTTGAATAATTAATATGTAATTTTTTATTGTATATTACGACAAATAATCAGTAAACTTTTTAAGCGTATAGCTTCATTGTACTTGACCTGAGAACTGTACATTTATAAATTTTACTTAATATACACCCGTTTCAAGCAACAAGGCAAAGTTTTCTGATCAATAACTTACTCCCTGAAAATACGGTATAACACAAATCGGAAGTTGATACGAAAATTCGAAATTTTACTAAAGAAAGATTGGAGGTTTTTAATTTATACAATTTTCACAACTCTTATTTCAATTATTTATTCTACCCATCGAAAGTTTTTGAGAGCAGGCCGCCATGTTATTTTTCTGAGTCATTAACAAATTGGTACTCTGGAATTACGAGCAATTATTTTTCATTGTACGGGCTAGTATGAATTTCAAATCAAATCTCTATAAACTAGAAGCGCCAAAATAAAATATAGGCTGCTCTGGCGCTTTATAAAAACTGCTGTAAGCGCTGCATTAAAACGAGTGCAATAAGTTTCTAATTTGACCTAGGCTTCATGACATTTCAAAAAGTATCATCAAGAAAAAAATTATCAGACAGAAATATGTATGTCGTGTTAAAATCGGAGAGACGAAGAAAAATATATGGTTGCGTTCTCACGAGAATGGGCGATGGAGGGGCTCATTCTTTATTTTCAATATTCATACAATAATATAAATTCATTCTGTTGCAATTAAAATAAATGTGCAATGTATCGTTAAAAGTTATTACAATTATACAAACATTTACATATATGATTAAATAAAATATATATGTATACTATAATTACTATAATTGTTACTTATCATTATGTTTTTCAAGATTTATGTGCGGAAAATAACTTACAGGAACCAATTTATGATCTTATCAAGGATTCTGGACAACCACATGCTAGAGTCTTCACTATTACATGTACAGTATCTAGTTTTGTAGAAGAAGGAGTTGCACCGACAAAAAAAATGGCAAAGCATGATGCTGCAGGAAAAATGGTGAAAAGAATAAAAGCTCTTGTGGATCAATTAAATAGCATTGAAGATGAAGAAGGATCTTTAGACTCATCTTTAGCAACTAATAAAACGGAAATAATGAATAGAAATGCAAAAGAACGCTACTATTCACTTAACAAATCAATAAAAAAGATGAATTTAGGTATTAAATTATCTGAATATCACACTAAATGGAGAGATTCTTTAGAAATGGATAAACGTAAGAAAGCATTAGAAGAATTGCATTCTTATTTAAACGAGATTCTATCTTTGGACGAAGAAGATGCAGATAAATTTACCATAATAATAAATAAGAAGTTATCTAAATTAGAAACTATATTATCAGATATTAATGTAACAGTTAATACAAAAGAAATACCGGCAGATAAGAGCTATTTTATGAGAATAATAGAGCTCAATACTTGTCCTCATTTTTCACAGATTGGTATAGGAAAAACTGAGCAAGAAGCTGACTGGAATGCTTTAACCAAGATGGTAGAATTTTTAATATTGCTTCTGTCATAAAATATAGAATTCATAAATGTAAATATAACATTTTAACAAATAATATTGATAATATTAATTAAAGTATTTTGATACACGTTTTTCAGTCTTATTTTTTTTGAAGAAAGATTTGAGTTGATTTTTGTCAAATTTACAGTTATTATTTGTGTCTCATAAAATATTTTTATTATATGCAAGCTTAAGTTGTCTAAAAATATTTTATCTTATATTTCGAACATGTGAAAAAGTGAAATTTTTTAAATGAATACAGTTTTACACAGTTCTATAGTTTTTATAAATAAAATTTTATTGTTTCGAAAATTTAGTTTTTTGATATTAATGCTTTAATTGATATGTATAAGTGATATATGTGACATATGTAATAGTTAAATCATTAAGAAAAAAAAATAATATTATTTTAGTAAATAATTAGTAAAACGAAAAGGTTCTGGTACAAATTCAAGATAAATACAGGTTTAGTTTACATCGAGCGCTTGATAGGCGTATCACGTAGTAAATAATTAGTAAATTGGTTTAGTTATCGGTTCAAGTAATCTGCAATATATTATTGTAACACTTTGATTTTAAACATTATATTTTTGCATTAGAAAAAATTATTGAAAAAATGGTAATGTGAGAGATTTGTATTTTGCATATAAAAAATAAACAATTTACATAATATAAATTATCTAATTAATAATTCATAACATATTTTTTTATTGTTTGATCTAAAGAGAAATAATACAAAATATAAGCAAATTTTAATATTTTGTATTATAGAAAGTACTATAAATATAATTCTTAAATTTGTATTATTTAAATTATTTTAAAGTTATTTATATTATATAAATTGTATTATACATTATATATTTATATTATATAAATTGTATTATACATTATCTGATTCTTTATTTAATATCACATAACAGAGCTACACCACAAAGTGTCCAATGTCGAGGATTATAATCCGTTTCAAAATCGATAGAACCGACATATTTTGCATCTGTTCTTTGAGGCTTTCTATATATAGGGCATTCATATAATTTCGGATCTTTACCGGCGGTAGTGTTTATTGCGAAAATGTAAATAACCGGCATTTGTTCATACAAAACTTTTGGTTTACTCTCAACGAGTTTGCCGGTTTTTCGATCGAGCGATGCGCCTTCCAAAAACAAACCGTGAACATAAACTCCTTCTTGTGGCTGACTTTTAATATCCTCTTTATTATAACGCGTAATCACGTTCTGTAAAACTACAGAATCTAAAGCCCAACCCTTGTGCGCTCTTGTTACTTCTTATAAAATTTATATTTAGTTGAAATTTTAAAATAAAACTTATAAAAGATGCAGCTAATTATAATAATATAAGCTATATATAACTGTCACAAATCTTTTATGTGCTTTATTATTCATCGTTTTATTATAAATTTTATAACCAGCAAGTGAATTTCACAGCATGCAAATACATTCATAAAGAAATATAATATATCGACTTATATGTATATACATCTAATAAGAATTATATATATATATATATATATATATATATATCTAATAAATATAATTATTAATATATATCTAATAAAAATAATTATTAATATTTAAATTTTATTTGCAAAAAATGAGTATAAAATTACATAAAAATAATGAATCAATAAAGTTATAATAATAATTATAAAATAATTTGTGATTATTACATTTGCAACTTGTATTTTCTAGAATTTTTTATACAAGCATTTATAATAAAATTTGGATGCATGCACAATTTACATTATTAAAAATACTAGAAAATACATGTTGCGAATGTAATAATCACACTTTTTTTAATTGTTATAACTTATTGATTTATTATTTCTATATAATTTTACACTCATTAATTTTTTGTAAATTAAATTTAAATATCAATAATTATTTCCTATTAGATATATATTTATATTCTTATTAGTTATGATATTACATGTATATAAGCCGACATAATATTTTTTATTAACGTTTTTGATTCTCACCTGTCTCATTGCTGTTAAAAATCCCTGTGAATTAAAAAATCCAGTCATCCAAAATACTCTTGGACGGCCGTGATTGCACCATTGTCTGAACTGATGATCTCTTTCTAAAAGTTCTGTATACCAAAAACCCAAAGTTGCAGATTCCCAAGAAATTTTCAACCATTTATCCGGAATGCGCGCGTCATACATCGAATCTAATGATGTTCGTAAGCCTTGGTTCATTACAATAGTACACTCAATGGCTAATTTTAAATCTGTTAAAGTACTTCGCACTTCTTTGATGACTCTCGAAATTCTGAAAGAGTTGTCTTAATTAACAAAGAGAAGATATAATAACTTACTCTATTAAAATTCTTTTTATTCCAATTTAATAAATTTTTTTATCTTCTTTGTATTAAATACATTTAAAATGATTTATTATAATAATAAAATAATTTAGTGACTGAATAATAATATTATTTAAATATATATAAAAAAAGAAAGGAAATATAAATACTTACCGATCAACTTCTTGTCTTAGAAATATATTCATAAGCATCAATGGTCCCATTCTTTGGAGCGCTTCTTTTACTTCGAAGGCATTGTATTGCTTCGGTAATTTAGACAGCATATCATCAGCTAATTTGTACGCAACATTTTCTCTGGTCTCACCTCCTTGCGCGCCTCCCTCTTTTGGTTGTACGCTAAGAATCGTGTCAAGTATTCCTTTCGCCGTATTAATTTGATAAGTAATATCAGCATTCGAATGTAATCCGAATACTTCCGGTGTGTCGGTGGCGGGTAAACTGTCGATATAGTCGATATATCTTTGAAGATTTCTCGTTTGGGGCACTCTGTATCTCCTTTATATGTCTATGTATATCTAGATCACTTGATAAGGACTCAAAGAAGGGTCGAAACTTTGTGATTGAATAAATAATATTTGCCAGTACGGCCGAGAGAAGATTTTTACCTTCTTTAAATTCTGTCTGGCGTTTCTCAAATATCTACGTTCTTATTAATTATATATATTTATTGATATATAAATAATTATTGATACAATTTCAATATACATAATAAACATATTTTTTTTTAAAAATAATAAACAATAGTCTACTCTAGCTAAATTTAAATTATTTATATTATTTACATTTTTTATTTCTGTATCAATTTTTTAATATTAATGAAATAGTTTTTTCACTATTTTAACGAAGACTTTAAAGTAATCCGAAACATTAATTGTTCCGGAACCGTTGCATATATTTGAGAGTCTCCGCGAAAAGTTAAATGTCGCGCGATCGATATAATGAGAACCCTCAATCGTCGCATTAGCGAATCACAAATTTACACGCGAACGAGGCATCGCGCGTAGTCGATCCTTCTCACGCCTCATTCCCAGATAGCACAAGACGTCCTATGGACGTTCATTTTATATCCATTTTACGTATGTACGTCCATGGACATGAAATGAACGTCCATTGTACATCCGATTTCGGACATCCATCAGTGACTAATATTTGGACGTCCACAGGATGTCCATCAAATTCTCTTACAGCACGAAATATTGCTAAAATATTGCATAAATATTTTATTTCATTGTATCATAATAAATATTAAAGCAACATTGTGCAAATATTATAAATTTAATATTTTATTGGAGACATTGCAAAATATACTATGCAATATTATCTTGTAATAGTTCCTTCATTTGCCGCTATGCGACGCAAGATTCGCTGTTCATCTCGCTATTAAATTTAGTTAAGAGAATTATAAAGCGCATGCAAAAAGTGGCTATTACAGTTAAATATGTTATAATTATTCTGATCAGTTTAACCTTTCTGATACTATCCCAACACAAAAAATTTAGATATTGAATTAATTGAAAAAATTGAACAAATAAATATTCGGATAAATAAAATGCGAAAATAAGAAATATTCTGCAATATTTTATGATTAGTATAAAAATGAATTAATTTTGCATGTCAAATTTATTATTGCTTATAAATTTCTTCTTTATGAATTTTAAATGTCATTTTCAACGATATACATGTATAATAAAGAACCAAAATATGTTTATTAAAGATTTAAAATTTATTCATAAAAGATCCAAAATTCGTCCATTAGATCCATAATTAGTTTATATGAGATCCAAAATTCGTCCGTTAGATACATAATTTATCCATTTAAAATCCATAAATGACCAATAATGGACGACTTATGAACGTCCAGACCAGTTGCAAACGGACGTACAATGGACGTCTCTTGTACGTCCGCTGCAGGTAATCTGGACATCCGATGGATGTACACAATGTCCGACCGGACATCCGTTGTACGTACATAGGATGTACTTGTGCTTATTGGGATTGTAATTCGCATTCGCGATCCTTTTTCGCCAACTTGAATGTGCGGTGTATCGATTATGATCTGTCGCGCACCCCCGTTTTATGCCTATCTAAGTCGCTAATATCCAGCTCCTTCTTCCGTTCCTTCTTCTTGTTCCGGCTCTTGGTGGATCAACACGTTAGCGAATGACCGAAAAATAGTAATCCGCGTTGTTGAAAAATTAATCCGTCGAGTTACGCAAGTGATTCATTTTCGCCGGTCATCGGCAAAATTTGTAGAGTATCGTGCACGCGATATTTTCAATCCATTCCGGTCGTTTGTGAAATACACGCATATTTCGGCTGTAATTACGACCGCACGTGTCACCACGTGCTCCGACATTACAGTGTTCCGGAGACTCTCAAAGACCTCGATTTCGCGAACGGTGCATCGCGCATCCGCGTTCGGCTCTTGATCGCTGCGATCTTCGTTAAAATTGTCGCGAGAAGATTTCCGTCGCGTTCGGAACTACAGCATAGTTCCGCCCAAGATTTTCGTCGCGTACGCGCGCAGCAAGTACGATCAAGCACAAGATGTCCGTCCGCTCTCGTTGAGTTTATTTTCCACCGTTCGTCGAGTGTGCATAATTGTTAATTGAGAATTTAGTTTTTTGTGAAAAGCCGAATAAACTTTATAAAAACAATATCGCCGATGTTAACAGTCAATCTCCTCTTCCCT